TATATATTGAACTCTTCATGATAAATGTTATTTTAATTTAATTAATTAACTTATTATTTAATTAAAACTTAAAACCATCCTCAATAACATGTTACAAATAATTTATCTTAATTGTGTTCTTTCGAAACCCTTTATTTTCTAACAAAATATTCCATATAACCGGCGTAGCATTTAACTATGTCTTAGTTTTCAGAATCAAGACAACATCCTCTCCAAAAAAACATATACCGTAGTATATCTCCTTGTATCTCACGAGACACATCATCCATAATCATGAAGAAGATGTAAGAGCCAAGTGTTAAACCTTTATGTATGAAGCCCAATTTCAAAAAAAAAAATATATTGTATCGTCAATTGCAGTTCAGACACATATTGTAGACCGGCAGTACATATCTCGGATATCCCTAGATATATAGCCCTAATGTAACATCATGAAACCTTCTAGGTTCTAAAGTCTTCCTTTTCATCTCATTAGTACCTTGAACATAATTTGTCGAAGCATAAATAATAATTTTTATTATAACATTGTTATTTAACAAAATAATACATATTTATGTGTACTTGTTTTTGTATGTATGAAAATTAAATTTGAAATTTTAGGTGTATAATTAGTACCTTAAAAGATAACTTTTAATAAAAAGTACAAAAATAAAACAAAAATTCAAACTATATGACAGCTCATTTTAAAATGTTGTTTAATGATGAGAAATATAAAATACTGCATATGTAGAAATAATGCCACATATAGAAAGCATAAAATAAATAAAAGCCAATAATACACCCCTTTTGATGCAATTTCTCGATTAACAAACATCCATAAAATAATCAATTACATAAAATTATCGGAGCCTAGCGATGACAGAGTTTTAAAAGTTAGAATCAATTTGTAACAGGAGGTTGACTATATATATGTTATGAAAGAGTAAAAACTTGTAGTAATAAACTTTTTAACAAACTGCATATGTCTTTGAACGTCTGATTTATCTTTTATATAAAGAATTGTTCGACACAAATACATATGCCAATTGACTAATAATTAGGTTATTTATTTAGCAATTTATTTAATGCAGTACATTTTTTTCTTTATCAACTTATACAAACTATGTTTCAATATAAAAAAAACTGATACAGTACTGTATAAATTGGTATCACATAAATTTTATTTTATAAATCGATAAAAAGAAAATATATCTTCATATTTAATTTGTACGAACATGTAGATAAAAAACAAATATATAAATATTTATATAAAGTAGGGAGTCATCAAAATTAGGTACAAATTTAATATTTCCGCGCACATCATTAGACAATGAGCGAGTCAAAATATAGAAGCTGGGCCACGGAACCGCGTAAGGACTGTTGGTCCTATGGAATACAGAAATGTCGTGGTCAAACATATTGACTCTTCAAACCATATTCCAATATTACCCTTTGGCTTCGTCAACATATACTTATTGTCAAATATGATTAAACTTGCTTCATATAATAATAACATATCTTATAAAATAAATAAGCTGTTGAATTGAACCATTATTGTGGTAACTATAAATAGTTTAATACTTTGAAAAAAATATATATTTATAAGTAAATCATATGTAGAATTAATATATTTTTATTTTAAAAGATATATCTTTACTTGTTTAGAATAAAGTTTTAAAAACACATATATTCTTAAAATAAAAATGAACCAGTTCAAATGATGTTCATAGGGTGAATTTGAGTTATTTCGATGATCCCAGTTAACTTATTTGTATTTCGGTAAATCATTAAGAGATTGTTTGATAAAAACCGAACAATTCAGTGCTCAACCACTTATATGAATGATACATAGATAGGAATGATTTATTGTTGTTTGATAAGATTGCTTAAGTGATAGAAAAAACATCATAAATGGTCTCTGTGGTTTCCCCAAATCTGAAGTTTAGTCCTCGTGGTTTAAAAACGTCATAGATGGTCCTTGTGCTTTCAAAACTTTTGACGATTGGTCCTTATTGGTAACTCCGTTAAGTTTTGTCCGTTAACTGAAGGGTATTTTCGTCATTTCACTACCACAGGGACCATTTATGATATTTTCTCTTATTTTATAAAAAATGAAATAATATACAAAGGGGGTCCCACCTC